GGTTTGCATTCCTATCAGCAATGGAGGAGTGTTCCCCTTACTCCACATCCTCCCCAGCATAAGCTGTCATCAGAATTTTTTTTAATCTTGGCCATTCTGACAGGTTTAAGATGGTATCTCAGAGCTGTTTTGAATTGCATTTCTCTGATGACTAAGTATGTTAACATTTCCTTAAGCATATTTCAGTCATTTGTAATTCCTCTGTTCAGAGTTCTCTATTTAGATATGTACCCTAATTTTATTTGATTGCTAATAAATAAATAATAAATAATAAATAAATAATAAATGGTCTTTTGATGCCTAGTTTCTTGAGTTCTTTGTATATTTTGAAGATCAGTCCTTTGTCAGATGTGGGGTTGGTGAAGATATTTTCCCATTCTGTAGGTTGTGGTTTTGTCTTGTTTACTTTGCCCTTTGCTTTACAGAAGTTTCTCAGTTTCAGGAGGCCCCATTTTTTCATTGTTGCTTTCAGTGCCTGTGCTACTAGTGTTCTATTTAGGAAGTGGTCTCCTGCACCAATGCATTCAAGGCTACTTCACACTTTCTCTTCTATAAGGCTCAGTGTGGTTGGTTTTATGTTGAGATCTTTGATCCATTTGGACTTAAGTTTTGTGCATGGCAATAGATATGGATCTATTTGCATTCTTCCACATGTTGACATCTAGTTATGCCAGCACTATTTGTTGAAGAGTCTTTCTTTTTTCCATCTTGTAATTTTAGCTTCTTTGTCAAAAAAATCAGGTGTTCATGAGTATGTGGATTGATGTCAGGGTCTTCAATTTAATTTCATTGATCTACCTGTCTGTTTTTATGCCAACACCAAGCTGTTTTCATTACTGTAGCTCTATAGTAGAGTTTTAAGTCACGCTAGGTGATGCCCCCAGACATCCTTTTATTGTACAGGATTGTTTTTGCCATCCTGGGATTTTTGTTTTTTCATATGAAGTTGAGGTTTGAGAGATGCATTTATCTATGTGAATAACAATAAGTCTTTAGTAGTCAGTTTAATTATTATTTCATTTTTCAGAATAATAGTAGGAGCTTCTTCCTTAGGACTTATCACCTGTTTAGATGCATACCCCTGTTATTGATATCAAGAATGACTTTTGCCTTGTGGATCTGGCCTTAAATACAATGAGAAAGTAGTTGGTTACTCTGATGGCATTTATGCCACTAGTATACCAATGGTCATATCTTGCCAGGCTGGTTGTTACTGTATGTCACAGGATTTCCAGCTGTGTAAGAGTGATGATTACTTTTCTATCTCTAGGACTGTGCATAGTATCTGTCAGTATTTTGGAAGATAGTCAGTAGGGATGAAGCTCCTGGTCAGTACCAACTTGATTTCTTCACATCGGATGACTCAAGTATGTGGTTTTTCTAGCAATAGGGTGTTGTTGTCTAATTCTTAAGGATAAACAAGATCAGTGACAATATCCTGTAATGTTTATTGGAGTTCATGTAACCCCATTGACCAACCCCCTTCACCCCTGCTAAGAGTAACCCAATCCCAGCACAGAGCTTTTTATTTGATAGCCTATGGTATCTGAGAGAAGCATTGTCCCCCTGTAATAGGGCAATTCCTTTTGTATATGTGTAAATTTTAGGGAGCTACTACAGAAATAGATTTTCATTTAGCTTTTCCAAAAGCCATTGGTGTTAATTATCCCTCCCCACAATCCATCTTCTACCCTGCTCATATCCCACCCCACTTAACTCTTTTATTCATCGTTCATACCACTGTGTTCTATTTCCTCTGTCTTGAACCACCTCCTCATTGGCTCCTTACAAGTTTTTTGTTGTTGTTGTGTTGTTTTTGTTTTTTTTTTACATTAAGAGTATTCCAATTTAAACACACATATCTAACAATTCAAACTAGCACCCACACATAAGAGAGAACATGGGACATTTCTTCTTCTGTGTAAAGTACTTCACTCAGAATGCTTATTTCCAATTCCATCCATTTACCCTCAAATTTCATTTATCTTAGCAACTTAAAATATTCCATTGTTTAAATGTGCACATTTCCATCATTAACTCATCAGTTAATGTTTAGGTTGTTTCCATTTCCTGGATATTCTGAATAGAGCTGCAATAAACATAAATGAGCAAGAATCTCTGTAATAGACTATAGATACCTTTGAGCATGTGTAATTATCAGTGTTGTGAGATGTAGACTCCTTTGGTTATAATAGTTGTATAGTTAAACCATATGATAGATCTACGTCTAGCGCCACATTGACTTGCATAGTGGCTACACCACTTTGCACTTCCACCAACTCTTTTTCCCTTTCTTTACATCCATATCAGCACCTGCCATTTTCTTAATTTAATTATAGTCATTCTAACTAGAGTACGAGAAAAATATCAAAATAGTTTAATTTGTATTCCCTCATGGATAAGGATATTGAACTTAGGTTTCTTCTTTTGAGAACTCTCTGTTTAGTTTCATGCTTCATTTTGATATTTCTCAATATTAAGAACAAATTCAAATCATCTTAAGATAAGCAGAACTGGGTCAAATGTGCCTCCAGAAGAAACTCACCTCTATAAGTAATTCTAATGAGGATAGTTCAGGGGATAAAACCATCCCAGGGGCTTAAGAGGTGACTCAGCAGTTAAGAGTGCTTGTGGAGGAGGTGCAATCATCTCTTCAGGCATTAAGGCCCCACAGAGTCTACCTTAGGAGCTCTGCATTGGCAGCAGCTGTAATTTGCCTTTGATTTTTCTGTTGAAATCTGTCAATCTCAATATGTTCATTATCTCTGTTAGAATGCTAGTGTTTTATATCATATAAAAACTGTATCAAAATTAAAACAAACAGAAGCATTAAAGTCATAACACAAATATCTTTTTAGCTCGAGGGCGCTGAGCCTATAGGCACTTGATAGAATGGTGGTGTTTAAAGAAGGAGAAAAGAAGAGGGGAGGAGAGAATAGAGATAAAGTTTCTCCGTGACCCTGGAGTTGGCTGATTTAGTCAGTCTGGCTGGTAAGCATGTTCCAAGAACTTCACAGTCTCCAGCTGTGGTGATTTGAATGCACAATGCTCCCACAGGTTCTGTTATTTGAGCACTTTGTCTTCAGCTGTTGACACCATTTGAGGAGGTTTAGGAAAGGCGGCTTTGCAAGAGGAAGCATGTCACCAACAGCAATCTTGCCATATTTTCAGCTCACTCTCTGTGATTTGCGCTTGCAATTCAAGATGTGAGCTCTCAGTTTCGTGTTCTAACCGCCATGCCTGCCCCATGTTGCCCCATGTCTGCCCTATTACCTGTGTAACTGTAAGCCAAAATAAACTCTTCCTTCTAAAAAAAATTGAATTACAAAAAAGGAAATTGAAAGGGGTGATTCACTTTCAGAGGGCTGGGGTAACTTAGTGTGCCATTCCTGTGTGTGTTGCCAATCAGCCAAGGACACTTTTGCTCAATTAGGATTAAAAAAAAATCATGAAAAAGTGCAGTGTGGCTCCCTCAGTGTTACCAGCTCTAGCTTCTGGCCACCTGAAGTACCAGCAGCTAATGCTACCAGCTCAGGCTGCTTTGCTTGAGGTTGGAGTCAAGGACAGCCAATGTAAACATCCAAGAGAAGCTTTATCTAGACTCCTGTTACAGCCCAAGGGGCTGTAGAGCAGACTGACTTCATGTGGGTTAGAGTGCTGCTCCTTAGAAAGGAAAAGGGAAAGGCATGCATGTGTGGTGTCTCTGGGTGAGAAGGTTGTTCCTCTTGTTACTAATTAGAGAACTGTCTCAGGTTCTTAAAGTCCTTTGGTGGAGCTATTGATCAGAACCATGGCTAAAGTTTTCTGCAACAAAAGCAAAAGCTTTGGAAACAATCATGGATGGTAACAATCAGGACAGTCTTCTAGCAAGACTGTGAGGTGTTTGAGGAAGACACACACACACACACACACACACACACACAAACAAACAAACAAACACAATAAAGTCAAGGACCCTCTAGGTAGGGTCAGGACCTTTGGACTCAGAGAAAATTTACCAGCATCCCTGGTCCTAAGAGCTTTGAACTTAGCCTGGCCATACTACCTGGTTCTTTAGCTTGCAGAAAGCACATCATGAGATCTCTCTCACTTCATAAATAGGTGTGCCAACTCCCCTACTAAATCTGCTGATGTGTGTTTCTGAGTTAGGATTTGAAGATGCATCATCTCAACACAAGCTCATGGTGGATGTGTTGTCCCCAGCTCATGGTGATAGTTTTAGAGGTGATGAAGACTGAAAGGTGAGGCCTGGCTGAAGGAAGCAAGTTACCAAGAGTGTGTCTTTGAAGGACATATTCTGCCCTCTCCACTCCTGTCTTACACTGCTTCCTGACCACCACAATGTGAACTTCTCTGCTCCATCATGCCCTGTCTGCCAGGAGAAACTGACAACTCTTAAATTATGAAACTGAAATTGTTCATGCCAGGAATTCTGCCACACTGACAAGAAAGCTAATGGCATGTCCCTTTAATTCTGACTTTCAGAGACCCCCAATACAAGTGTAGTACCCCCAATACACTGAGTACTACACTTACTCAGTGTAGTAAGGATTGTTTTAAATGATGTGTTAAGACATTCAGGCTAATACTTGGCATGCTAGTTATTAATTTTCATTAAGTAATGGCTTCTACCCAAGTATAATTACTTGGGACAAGAAGTACAGTTATAGATAACAATGGCTTTTGTTTAGGGTAATCTGAGAGTTGATATGGAAAAGGAATTGGCTCATTAGAAACGGCATTTTACAATTTCAGGAATCCTTTTATTCTATTCAAATACCCTTAATTTTCTTACTGTAGAAAGACATAAAAAGCAGTTTGCACACTCAAGATGTCAAAGTCATCTGGCATGTGACACAAGTCATCTTGAGAAGCAGTCATCCCAACTGCCCACTTCAGTCTCAATATCTGCAGACACCCTTTCCAGCTGCCATTCTGGAGGAAGAACTGGGTCTCAAAACAGCCAGTGACATCTGTCACTGAGATGTGGAAACAAAGCATTATTCAGGCCCCTTCTCAGTTAGCCGAGCCATGGGTGCATCTCCATGTGCGTCCTTCGTTGAGTTCCTTCTGTCCTCCAGTTTCTTGTGGGATCTCATTTCAGTCCCTGGGCAATGTCTTTCATCTCTCTCCTTCCTGCCCTTGGGTCCCTGGAAGAGCATTGGAAAAGTGTTAAATGCACCAGCAATTGACATTGTCCCACATTTGTCCCAACAACTAGACAGGAAGAAAGAAAGCTCTGATTTTGTAGCAGACTTCCACGGCTTACTTTCTAATAATAAGTTAACATCAACCCAATGTAATGTGTTGATGGTTTTAACCACAAAGCAAAAGAGTTTTTACTAAATTTTAGTGTAAGGGCTATGTGAAGAATGCAGTGTTTAGGAAGGACATCCAACCAAGTCAACAGTCTCCAGTAGATCAGCTGGAACCATTTACAGTAAGGACTTCACTTTATTGAACACACTGTTGTTCTAGGATCAGCATTATATGGAGTCTACCTTCTCCTCACATATATGGAGTGAGACAAAGCATCAAAACATAAGCCTAAAGGGAAATGAAGAAGAGCTAGTGGTGAAATGTTAACTCCAATAGGGCTACATGACAAGGAACTTTGGGGGAGAGTTCTTTCATTTCGATGCCCAGGTAGTGCCTTTCAGAGCAAAACAATGGCATTGATAGCTGCCTTAGGAGGTAAGGGCCTGTGGAACATATACTATGATGAGTGGCTGTCACATGCTGCCTCAGCCCTTCATGTACAACTTTACGGAGGTGTCTGGTTCAAGCAGCTGTCGTGTTGGTTCCTCTACAGAGTAAACAAATAAATCTGCTTTATTTCTCTCCAATATGGGTCTTTCCTGAAGGTCAGAAAGAGAAACAAATAATGGGGCTGAGATAAAAATTAAGAGAAAATTAAAAATTAGACAAGCTCTGGGAAAGTTCTGACAAAATTTTTCATTTGATCAATCACTAATATTCATGCAATCAGAATTTATATTTAGCAGTCATGGATGTCTCTATTCCTTACCAGAGAAATATAAAAAGAAAAGCTACAGTGATGTCTTCTTCCAGACTAGCTTTCCTCTTACTGATACTAGATTATCTGTAAGACACTCATCAATAATGATCTGACAGAGACTAGCTGCAAGCACAAGATCAAGCTGGCCAGTGAATGGAGGAGGGATTCATGAAATTCCACACCTAGATGAGGAGCTATTGACATTTGATGGTTGCTGGAGAAGGAAGAGTCAGCTTTCTTCAGAGATTTGGTCCTTAAGAAGCTGCTTGTGCTCCAGCAATAGATTATCACACACACACACACACACACACACACACACACACACAC